AGCTAAAAGAGTGTGAGCGAAAAAAGAAGTGCGAAAAAAGGGAGCATATAAAAGCTTGAAATGCTTTTGAGCTAACACACTACAAACTAGTGGGAGATTTGCACTTGAATACAAAATAGCACACACTTGATGGTATTAACCGAATGGAATGCAATGAAGTAAGTGGCTCAAATTTCCACTCACGATCTGGCTTTCAATGATATTCGCAAAACATCGTGTTGTTTGCAATGGAATCACACCAATGAGCTCCACACACACATTGTATCTGTTGTTCGGGTGACGGTGATCTTTGGCGGGTGAACGAGCGAGCAAGCGAGCGAGTAAATGAGTGTGCTTGGTAGTGAAAATGCAGTGTGGAACCATTTGAATGTGCATTCGACACGATTACGTGCAACGGCTAAAAGTGAGCAATGCCATGCCAGTGTCTCGCTACATCAAGCTCTCTTTTGCTACTTATGTCTTTCGTACGTGTCTGAAAGCGAATGTGTTTCGTGTATTTTCATTTACTTTAAGGTTTTCTCTCTCTCTCTCTCTTTCGTCTCTTACATTCCAAAAATATTAGTGTATGTCCGTTCGCATTTCCTTCCACCATACATTGTAAGCGGTTGCCTTCAGAAGAAGAAAAAAAAATTCGCTACGACGCGACATTGAATTTATCGAATTTCATTGCAGTTCTCTCGTGCATGCGGACCGAAAGCGAAATAGAGTAACGAGAAAAAAATTATATCCGATTTGTGCACTGCATTCCAAATGAAACTGTGCCCGGTTTGACGATACGAGGATTTGACGATAAATCTTTGTCGTAAGAAAAATCATGAACATACTTTTGCAATTTTATCCAATATTGGAATGTGTCGCAACTGCCACTCTCGATTTCGGGCACACTGATTTCTGTCATTTATCACCCTCCGAAAACTATGATGAAAGCACGAAAGAAAATTGCTTAACACCAACATGTTTCACTAGTTTGCTTGCAGCGCAACAACAACAGCTTACACTCAGAATATGACTACAATTCACACTTGGTTCTCCGTTTATCTCGACCATCAGTCATTCAACCATTTTTTTTTTGCTGATTCGTCTTCTCTCTTTTTCTCACGCTCAGTTGACTCATCTTGAATACAATTCATTTTTACAACGTGCATCTAATTCTAAACGATGCCACTTTTTCATGCTTCATTCATATAATTGGTTCAGTCTTTTCTGCGCCGTATTTTTGTGACATAATTTCTCTAATTAATTCCAATGAGTGTTTCAACGCAAACAAAACTGGAATTCCCCATTACAACAAATACACCGACAAAAAAAGAATGTGGCATGCCAACGAAAAAAGAATGTTGCAAATGCAAGCGTCACAAAAACGGCAAGGCGAAACAGTGAGAAAAAGAGACAGTTGTTCTCTGGAACATGTACACACCGAGAGAGAGAGAGAGAGAGAGAAAAAAAAGCTCTTGAAAAGAGATAAATGAAATTATACGACATCCTCGAAAAGAGGAAAAAATTCACTCGAAAGCAGCGACGAAAAAACGCTACACAAAATCGCATTAAGTGAATTACAGCTGCTGCAATGGTTATTATTGAAGCAACGCATCCTAGCAACATTGTGATTGTGAATATATGTGTGTGTGCATGACAAGACAATTTCCGCCGTTGTTGCCATTTTGGATGCGCGCATGAATGTGACTTTCGTTATTAATATTTACGAAGAAAAGGACATGTACACTTACACAAAGCTTTTGATGCACAAAAACTAAGTGTTGCAACTACAGTGAAACCTTTGAAATAAAAAATTGCGCTCAAGTTTTCACACTCATTTTCGTACATTCTATATGTATGAATTCGTTTTATTTTTTTGGTTTTGACTATTTCCAGCGCCACTGGACGTTGCGAAAAGTTGTTAAATCTCTCGAAACGAGATTTTTCCAATTCGATGCACATGCTTGGCTCCCTCCATTCCATGGCCAACTCCTAAACTAGTTGAGATTTTCAATTGCACAGAGTGCCTACAGGCCACTTTATCTCTCTCTCTCTCTCTTTGCTCTGATCTGCTCGGCTCTATCGTGTGCCTGTGCACAGAGCCAACGAGATAATCCGTCTAAAATAGTTTTCCAAGAGAAAAACCATTACCATTTTAATTATTACATGAATATTATTTTTAATTGGTTCATGGGTAGTAAACGTTCTTGAAGCAACTCTTGTTGCGGTCTACTCAACACAACGTTATCCATCTGGCGTTGCCGTTCAATTTACATCGGATTAATTTTCAATCAGATATCCATAGAGTAAAATTAAAATTGCTTGCGCAATGGATACATTGTTATAATCCATGCCGTAATTTAAGTGCCAAAATAAATATGTATGTGTGCAACTGCATTGTTCTAGTAACATTTTTTGTTGTTGTTGTAGTTTCATTTGGTCTGAGAATGGATTTCCAATCAACCCACAAGTTAATAGGTTGAGAAATGCGATTTCAATAATTCGAGTTATCCATGAAAATATGTGTGGCAAATGGAGAGCCTAACATGCAATTCGATTGAGATAATTATGATTTGAAATAGCTTTTGCTATTGCTATGCATCTTTATTATTGAGCTATTTGCTTGGGTATTATAACATACATAGTAACTATGTGTTGGATAGTGAAGTAAATTTACCCATGTGTTTGTGAATGTGAAGTATGTTGAGTAATTGCTTGGTATGTCCGTGCATCAAAAGCAGCAATGTTCATTAAAGGTTGCTACGTTCTTACTTAGTGCTGACCCCATACGCACACACCAACCAAAGTGCCGAGGTAAACATTTTGCCATTCTTGAATGGTTTTCACAACACAGTACAGGTAAACGTTGGGTTTTCGGTATATAGAAATATCTTCTCTTTCTCCGGTTTTGATATCAAGTAAAATCTTGAACCATCCTTATGGTTTTCGCTCATTTATATTCCACATTGGCAAACTCTCGTGGCTCATTTCAAGGCTTCCGTGGGAATTTTTCATCTTGATTGTAAATATATTTTGTATATATTCCAAGAAAATCGATGCGAATGAGAAGAACCCTCCCAAGAAAAATAAAACACTTGCACAAGTTTATGTTAGACTTTCGTGGATTAATGGAAAGTTTGTGATTATCGATTGAGTTTCAGTCATCAATTTCATCAAATGTTCAAAAACATCGATTGCCAAAAAACGCATACATACATCCACCGTAAACCGCAATGGAAGTGACGCCAGCAAAATAGCTGATTTGATGAGTTTGGCAATGTCGTTACTTTCATTAAAAGCCTATGAAAGTGCTATCAAGATTCTTCGGCAATTCGGCAATCAACGTTCTTATAAATAGTCTGATTATTGTTATGATGGTTTCGGTTTTACTGTCGCATTAGGTGAGCGTGGTGTGGCTCAAACTGAGGCCAGGTTTTGTAATTCCCGTGAAGATTCCGAACATCACGTTTAAAATAACTTTTATGTGCGTATGTGAGTCTCTTCGTTTTTTTTTTTATCTGAAATTTGCATGCGGAAAGATAAATGTCAGAGCTATAATCATCGAATGCGGCTGATGTTAGCACAAAATTATGGCTCATGATCGCTGTTAACGTTAGAAACGAAAAATACGTGCTACAGAGAGTGACAAACTCCCACATTTTTGTATGTTATTACACAACCGAAAGTTCGGAATGGATGAAACGGTTGCAAGCGAAAGACTCACCGAGTAGTAACGGGAATATCATAAAAGCACATTTCAGCTGGGGATTCACCTTATCACGTCTTATTCGCTTGTTGTATATCTATCTCGATGCTTGTGTGTGTACTTTAATAGCGTCAGTTGTTCACTTGTTTCGGGCTGTGTGGCATTCTTTTAACGCGACGTTTAAAAATAGCACGTACCAACTGGAACCGCTCAAGCAGTTCCCGAAAAAAACACACACACGAAAGATGAAGAAAACGAAGAAGACCGAAAGTGCCGTCAGATGATGCTTTGTTTGTTTGTTTGTTTAATCGTTTTATTTTTGTTTTGTGTTTATTTCGGAAAGAAAACAAACTTGCGACAAGCTTGAACAAGTCACGCTAGAGTGCGTGTAAAGAGAAGAGAGAAAATGAAATGCCAACTATTTAAAGTCGATGTTCAAACACACAGCAACGAGGAAAGAGGGTAAAAAGTGAAAAACGACGACGACGACGACGATGCCAATACCAAGCAATAACAAGCTCGAATGACATCACAGCGAGTTGCAAGCTTGAGGTCTATGTAATAATGATCGCAATCAATCCTATTTCTATCCATTCGAAAGTGAGAGCCACATTTGTGCATACGTGTGACACAAAGTGTCACTATATCAACATGGAACGCCCGTTTCAGCTACGAAATTTATAAACATCGTTTAAAATGTTATTCCCCCATCGCATTCAAGGGCTCAACGTACTATTGGATGTGTTCTGCTTTCTCCTTTTCTCTTCGTCGTGAGAGCTGGGGCTCAATTTTTCGCATGCTTTTATCGCAATACTATACTTAACCATTTGATAATGCTTGTTGCGTGATCATAGTACAATATTACAACTTAAGTGTGCTTATTTGGTGCCTGGTATTCCCACTTTTTTTTCTATTCTCATGCCATTCCCTTCGCCCTATTGTCCCATTTTAAATTCGCGCTGAAAGTGACGTTTCGTCCTTCTACTATTTACTATGTGTACATGTTGCAAACGAAACTGGTTACATTGTTCGTGTAGATAAATTTGCTGATTTATTTCCACTTTGAAAAGTTTTATTGCACGGTTCGCTCGAATTTCTTGGTTTACTTACAAAAGAAGACAAATTGAATTCAATTTATTTGCGCCGTCATCAGCACCGAAACGAACGAAAAAAAGCGACAAACAAAACGTAAACGAACGACAAAAACTGTCTATGACATTTGAACTCGAGATGATTTTAAATTTACATTTACACAATAAATCGCAGGAGAATTTTCCAACAATCGAATTAATAGTGAATTTTTCTCTTCCATTTTCAGGTTATTTTCCACTGGAATCCGTGCATTGTTTGGTGTGGATATGTTTGGATGTATTGTTTTGTACGGCCAGCATAATGCATTTGTGCTCAATATCCATCGATCGATATTTGTCACTGCGATATCCCATGCGGTTCGGCCGAAATAAAACGCGAAAGCGTGTCACGGTGAAAATTATATTCGTTTGGATTTTATCGATTGCAATGAGCTTACCACTGTGCTTGATGTATTCAAAGGTATGTGAAATGTGGCCAAATTGCCATTGAACATGTTCAAATTTCAATAATTAATCCGGCATTTGAAATATGCACATTTATTTTCGTTTGGGGCATAAAAATAGGATCATGCATCAGTATTAGTTGATGGAACGTGCCAAATACCAGATCCTGTGTATAAATTAGTCGGTTCAATTATTTGTTTCTACATACCGCTGCTGGTGATGTTGATAACATACTACCTAACGGTTCGGTTGCTGGCGGCGCAACAGCAGAGTTTGTGTGGAGGTGGCGGTAGTGGTCCGGCCACAGGTACCACGACCACAACCACCAATGGCAACCAATCAAATGGCTGGGGCAGCGGATGGTTAGGTCAAAAAAATATCGGTACGAAAATATCCTTGAATGTCGAATATTTGTGGAAGATACAATTTATTACATTTTCTTTGATTTACCCAAAAGAGTGAAAAAAAAATGTCACCAAAGAAAAGTTGATCCTTCATTAAAATTTGCATATTTGTTTGTGTTTATTAAAAAAAAAATCATCACCAGAACGAAGGTGTACATGGCGTCGCCTGCTGAAAACCAGTCTACCATCGACACCAAATCATCCACATTCTGCCACTTCAACTGATACCGAGCTTTCAAACTTAGATACGCATGAATTATGGCTGCCAGACTCAAGGTAAACACACTTCAAGGCCCTTTTTTTCTTTTCTCCATTTTCCATTCACTCGCCTCGGTCATTTCACTCGTTGGAAATTTTCGGGCGGATCTTTGCGTGAATTCTTTTCACTTGGCAGCGTATTGAAGCCATTGATTTTGATGAGAAAATTCCCCAAGTTACGTGGCTAATGAATTTTTACAGTCATTAAATTTCGAGTTTGTACGATAAATTTCAGTTTTGTTTTTAATTAAAAACAAATGATGAGCTTGGAATGAACATGAGACTTTCGTCGCTCAATACACAGATACGAAACAAAAATAAAGCAATCCATTAAAATGGAACATGGAAAAGAAATCCGTAAGAATGAAACATAGCATGTGCCGTTTTAAGTATTTCGCTTTGCGGTGTTCCGTTTTGATAGATTTTTTGTCTGCAGTGTCCGTATGAACGAATCCCCTCGCATTGTTTCATATGAATGGATCTGTATCACATTGTTTCGTTACTCGAATATTTTTTCGTGTGTTTCATTTCAATTGATTCCCGAGCTATTGATGACGTCACTCGCATTTATCACATGATGCAAATTAAGTGATAACGAGCTCGAATTTCGATGTGGCGATAACACCAATGGATTGGGAAAAAAATACTATATGAGAATCGAAAAAAATATTTAAACTTTTTTTTCGATTTTTGCCTGTTTCGGATCGTCTACATGGGAAGTTTGTATGAAAACCTCGGAGCGCCGGTGTTTTGCCCGTATTGTTATACACATCAACAAAGCAGTCTGCTTCACCGTAGAAAAGAAGTGCGCAGTAAGGAAACAAGAACGTACATGTTTTGGCAAAGTGGCTTCACTAGTGATTATGAATGAACGTAATTTCTCGTTACAATTCTCATTACGTTCATTCATATTCGCTATAATGCAACGTTGCCAAAACCTGTACGTTCTTGTTTTCATTCTTACGGATTTCTTTTCCATGTTCCATTTTAATGGATTGCTTTATTTTTGTTTCGTATCTGTGTATCGAGCGACCAAAGTCTCATTTTGATTTCAACCGCATCAAATTTACTGTCGTTCCACACAGCATTCCAGAGCCAACACCATCAACTATGACCGCTTTGCATCAGTTCGGTGCTGAGATGTTGAAATTGTCACGTGGATTAGATGCAGTGTCATCAATTGTTGTGCCTATTCCGGCCAGTTCATCGACGACATGTGTTAGTAGTATCACCGCACCCGTTCGCAACACAACCACCGAACATAGAAAGCAACAAACGCCACTATTATCGAGTCGAGAACCGCCCCCACCACCACCACCACCACCACCACCACCAGCATCGAAACTAAGCCGTGAACGGAATCGGTAAGTGGGTTATGTGACATATACACAAACATTCACATTAGTTTAAGTGAACAAGTTTTGAAGGCCGATTCACCAGAATCGCTCGGCGAAAATGACATTTTGATTTCATTTCCGTTGGATATTCAATTTCGTTAGATCGAATTGAATCGCAATCCTTCTTGTTTTTCCGCTCAGCTCTTTATGACGTGTTGCGATGAAAGAATTTTAAATTGTGCCTGCACAAAATAGGGGGAAAACGCAATATATGTCTTGCGTGCAATCAAAAGCAGAACATGGCAAAATGCAATATGAGAATCGCATTTCACTCAAAGCGAACACAGCGCTTTGTGTCGTCACCTTTTTTTTATTTTCAATTCGTTTTTAAGCGCCAACATGAACACGAAAGCTTAATAGGTTTTTCTACATCGTTTTCTATTCGCGTTGCAAATTTTCCTTTGACAATGTGCTGCCTCTCCACGGTTAAAAGCCATTTTTTCGCTTCAAATTCTAAATAGACGAGAACATACAACAACAACTGTCATTCCTGGAAAAATCATGTAAAAAAACTAGACTGCGTGTTCTTATCGTCATCGTCGAAGAGGTAAACACCGAGAACGCGTGCACAAACATGCTCAATAGATGGGATTTCCGAATTAAGATCACAGCGAAATGATTAAATGAAGTCAAACGAACGTAGTCAGTGACACAAAAAATGCATCGATTTATTATTAATTCAAGTGATTCCTTCCTCCGTTGCGTTACGTTGCATTCGGCGAACGGGGTTTTTGTATGCATTCTTTGTATAATTCATTTAGAAACTTCTCTAGAGAGTCCTCTTTGCTGTTGCATCACACATGCTGACTCAGTCAAATGAAATGATACGTTTGATGCTTTTGAGTGCTGTTGTGCATGATTTCCATTCAGTGAACATTGTACAGAAGAGTAAAATGGAGGAAGCCAATCAGCTCTTATGCAGTTCAATTAACATATATTAAATGTCGATTTTTCTTCCCTTTCTCCGCTCCGCACATGGATTTTTTTGTTGTTGACGAAAATCGAGTTTTTTTTCCCTATATGACGGACATTTCGTTGAAAATCTCTTGCTTAATTTCCATCATAAAACGTCATTCATCGCTTTGATGCATACAGAAATCGAGTTCCACAGGGAATTCTGATGTATACATTCGAACTGGAATGGCGTATCGTGGCCATTGCTTGAGAAAATGAATGATTGCCTGTTGAAATCCCAAGCTAGCGACTCTACGATTTATCATTGCGACTTAGTGTGTAGGTTTTCGGGCTTTTCTCTTATTTCAACACATGTTTTTGTCCCAGTTTTATTCTCTGATTTGTTTTTGTTTGTTTTCTGTGTTTGTACTCTTCCCTCTTCTTGTTCGTATTCGCCAAAGAGTCTAGTGCTCTGTTTTTTGGTTTGCTTCGAATAATCAGATGATTTCGTGATCGAAAGATTTTCATTCGAAATTCTCAAACTTTTCCCATCGAAAGCCCAGCGGGGCTTTGTGGAATGCTTAGAAATTAGGAAACCACAAAAACTGTTGGTTTTTTTTTACAATTTTGCAATATCCAATATGGTTTGTTTTATAACATTTCAAAGAGTTTTTTCTCATGATACGGAAAAAGACGAAAACAAAACAAATGCCAGCTTTTTGTTCTGTCGAGCGCACAAACAAAAATATATATATTAAAGTTCCGAAAGACGAACAACCATTTATCGTACGTTTTGGAATCGTGTTGTTGATGCGCGCGGAAATGACCATTATTGAAAAGAGCAAAAGAGAAAATGGAATTCGTTGTGAGAAGGGAAAAAAACATTTGCACAAATTTGCAATGCCGAGCAGACAGGGTAAAAATGGTGGACGTTTCTGTAAACTGAAAAAGAAACGAATGAGGCGAAGGTCGAACAGAATAAACAATTTGGAATAAATTCAGCAGAGAAAAACCAGTATATTGTTTAAAATGTATCGTTGAGCGTGTGTATGGTGTAAAAAGAAAGAAACCCAAAAGATTGATACATTGAAAATGGTGAAAGTCTGTGAAAATCAGCGTGAGCAGCATCGAAGTGACCAAAAGTGAACGAGTAAGGGAGAAAAAGAGAGAGAGATGGAAAAAGATGAAGAAGAACAAAAAACAGAACACATACGAACATGTGGTCGTGCTTTCGCATGAAAGTCACTGTTATTTGTTTTCCGCTGCCTTGCATGATCAAATCCTGTTCATTTTGGGGTTGGTACCTTTTTCGCAATATGCACAAAACACACGCTTGTCAATTCCAACTTTAATGCATCGTAATATCCTTGTTCGTGTTTCTTACTTGCTTGCAGCCAAACAATCAAGTGCATGGAAGCGAAAGCGAGTGTAAGAGTGCATTTTGGCAGCATCGCTCTTCCACCACTCACTCGTTCACCCACTTATATACACGTATTTATCACTTTGGTGCTACTCAATGAAATGGGTGTCGATTCACTTCAGTGGAAATGTGCGGTTGCATTTTTGGCCAATTCCAAAATGGGAACACGTGAAGAGAACAAATGGTGTTATCCTTGAAAATTTGCAAGAGAATGTAATTTCTAGAGGTGCATTCATTCTTCGTATATACGACAACTTGCGATGCGAAACTTTTACGTTCACCGAATTAAGTTCGCATACAGACAAAATCACATCAGCACTCGCGCAAGCGAAATAATACCCTTTGATTTAAGTTTTAGTTATACGACCGGAAACACAGCCACACACCCGAAAAAACACAGCACAAGCAAGGAAAGGGTCTCTTGATGCAAATACCAGCAAAATTGAGACGAAAACGATGAGAAAAAAATCAGCATAGAGAGCACAAGAAAAAGACGAACTATGAAAAGTATGAGGTTTTGCAGTGCGGGTTGCACATGAATGAATTTTGCCTCGTGGAAATTTTCTTTCTTCTCTTCCTGAATGACGAGCCACATCATTCGCTTCTCGCTTAGATTCACATTATCCAAAACTTTTCGAATACATTTGTTATTCTTGCAAGTTTTTCACAATAGTTCGTTGTATTAGCTCGAATGAAGTGCCACTATTCATTTATTATGTATAGGGACTGGCAGTAACAAGAAGAAGAAGAAAAACTGTGCTCGCGTTACCAACCAGATTATGTCACGGCTCAAGAGATTTGAAATATCATTCTGGTTTACATGTAATCAAATAAATCTTTGCAAAAACCATTATTTCGTTTTCGTTCATTCAAAAACATTTTTGCGTTATTCAACTCAACTGATTCATCTATTACGTCTTACACTTGATAAGAAGAGAAAAACTTTGGCCAGCTTTTCTTCATTCCGAGACATTTAGACGATAACGGAGAAAAAATCATTTCATTTTTTTTATTCACATGACATCTTCGGAGTGTTAGAGAGAGAGAGAGAGAGAGAGAGAGAGAGAGAGATAGAGAGAGAGAAGACGGAGAGACATGTAAGAAAGCCACAAAAGACGCATTAACATCCTGACAATTATATATTTATTCACCCACACAAAAAATGGCTGAACACGCATAATAAGGTGAATGAATAAATTCAAATGTCTTCAAAATGCCCCAACCGTAAGTGCAAATGTGTATGGTAGAGGATGAAACAGTTCAGAACGTCGACAAAATGCTGATTTTGTTGAAATTTTTCGGTGGTGGTTTTTTTTTCGTTCACTGGCTCCTCTCCATTCATTTCAGCTTGTGCATTCAATTGCTTAAAATTGTTTCCATCCAAATATTTTCATTTTTGTGGCGATATCGGCGCATAATTTTGCTTTAATATAGTCCTTGGCATGGAACGGATGTTTGAATGAATAAAAAAAAAACACATTTAAATATGGTTACCATATTAAAATGTATCCAGAGAGCAGAAAGAAAGACATCAGAAGAAGAAGAAAGAGGAAGAAAATATGTACCACGAGAATGAGGCTCCATTTGGGGGTTAGTTTACTTTAAACGAGAACGAGCAGTTTGAACATCGTTTCGTCGTGCTTACATTTTAGCGTTGGCGTATGAGAAGGCATTCGATTTAGAAACCACACATACAGACACACTCGACAATTCACGTCTAGAAATGTTGTTGGCTGAAGAGACGAAATTGGTTGGATAACGTCTCGCATGAAGTGGCTTTAATTTAAACATATGACAACATTTCATTATTTTGCTTTAAATGTTCCACTCTTGATTCAACCAACCATTTCCGATGCACATGTGAATTTAATCAAAAGCAAACAGATTTAAATTGAGACAGCCAACGCCGTATCTCTCTCTCTCTCTCTCTTGTTTCCTTTTCTCTCCTTTTTTTGAACATCATTGTAAAGCGGTTTCTATCTCCTTTTTTGTTCCAAATACACGCAAAGTACATGGAGCGCGAGATCCTTTCACAAGTTTGTATGATGACTTAGCATAAAAATGAGACATTTTCGCAACAGACAACAAATTTTCCATTCGTTCCCTTTTTTGTATGGCGATAAAAGTGATGCGCTTGCGTTTGAATACTCTGCTTTTGAAGTGAAAGTGACGAAATGGAAACAAATTACTAAATTCAACACATCGTTTGTAGCCCGTATTCAAAGTGTGTGTGCATTTTTGCTGCAGACGACTCATGCAAATGGATTAATTCAAATCTTATCATTCATTTATTTGAGAAGTGCGGGAGATCGAGACAAAAGCTATAGTGCATCGCCAAAGGCACTCTTCACGCCAATTAGGTAAATAGTCTGTGAATGATATTAGAGTACTTTGCACAAATGGAATATCGACTAATTTCGATTGAAGCGCATGATATCCATTTTACTGGTAAGAGAACATTGAACTTCGTGCGTCTGTGCATTTGCATTTAACAGAAGCTTTTCTCAATTTAAATTTTCTCTCATGCGCCGGAGAGAAAGAGAGAGAGAGAAATAGAGATGTTTTCGAAAGAATAGATGAACCGAAATTGATTGCTGAAACACAATCTCTTTGTGTATTTCGAAGAATTGGTTGGTCAAATGAATTCATTCGA